TATCATGGCAACTGAGCCCACCTCAATGGAGTTGTAATTCATACATCAATCCTATTTTTCCTAGGCAATGGCTGTGTAAATGTGTCTCACATCAGCAAATAAACACAACAATTGAAAACACTGCCATAAATTAATGATTCCTCAATTCTAATGTTCATCAGGTCAGATGGACTGTGTGGCAGGTTGTCCATATCATTCCCACATCAAAACTGCTCCATCTATCCATCCACGCTTCAACACCTGAAGCTTATTTATTCTCTGACAGTGTCCCTCTGCCTTAAAAGACCAGTTTAGTGACACTGCAGTGCACCGTAGATGTTTTCACAAAAGCAATGGTTCATTCCCACTTAACACACTGACATCCATCACATTTATAGATTTTGTAATGGTAACAGCAGGGAAGCAGCTGACAAATATTGCAGAAAACGAAACACCAAACCGTGAACAGCAGCATTTTGTGGTAGACACTACAGTTTAAGGGAAACAGGGACAGTTAGTTACTGCTGCATGTAATCAAGAACATGCAGCAGAACCACCCCACTGCCATGGAAGGTCACATATACTTGAACTAGTATAATGCAGGTCAATTAAAGCATCTTTGAAGAAGTTTGGCTGCAGACCATTCATGCTGGAACATTTAACCAGAAGAATGAACTGCCACTCAAGGGACGATGCGTCTTTCAGCATGAAACAGCACCTCCACATTTTGGTCAAGTTACAGACAGCTTACATGAATCAGCATTACAGGAACTGGTGGAATGGTCATGCTGGTCCAACACCTTGGCCACCAGGAAGTCCAAACCAAGCCCTGCCTGCCCCATTTCTTTTTATGGGGTCTTACAAAAGGGTCCCTTTACATGACCATTGAATAAACAAGAGTGGAATCCTTGCATTGGACTCTAATGCTACTAACACATGACACTCCCAAATGAGACAACAGTCAATAAACTCTCCTGTGAGCTAAGCAGGGCTGTGCATGAACACCACTGCAGACATTTCGGGCAGTTAACTTAAGGTGTAGCTCATAAAATGATTAATTAATATTCATTATCTAGCACTCACCTAGATCTTCAATAGACAGTGTTGTTGTATTAACAATTTTTGGCTTTATCTCCTGGAGTATGGCAAACTGGTTGTGAGAACACTGTTATTTCACTAAATTGGCAATGGAGTTCCCCGATGTTCAGAGCATCCTACAATGTCTGCTGCTTCTATGTATATTACTCATACACACAGGTTTCAGTGGGAATAAAAGGGTATCAACATGTAACAGCAAGTTATTTAGTATGATTATTTATTGAAGCATTCAAGCAATTCCCTACAATTTCAGTGATGCGTTTCGTAGTTAACTAATAATAACACACCATATAAAAGATCTGTGCATTGGAGGAGCAAGATTAAAAAATAAATACCGTTTGTTAAATGTGCAATGATGAAATGATACATGATGACCACAAGCTGCCTCTCCCTGGATACAGTATTCCTGCAGTAACATGACTGACTGTACTACACCTATGGAAAATCCCCTCCATTTTTGGGGAAACAAGTACACAAAAATATTTTCTACAGGAATTTTTGGACCCTGCCTGAAATATTCAAACACTTTGAATAAATACGATAATCAACAAACCACAATTCTTTGTACTGCTCAGACTTCGAGGGGGTACAACTTCTAGTAGCCCCTTAACCACCGAGACGTCTACTCAGTCCACCGTGCTGCCCTGCTGTTGCTCAGGCTCCCTCTAGAGGCTAGACCTTAGCTAGAACCAACCCCCAGAAGCCCTTGAACATCACAGATGTATGCCCAACCAAATGGTACACTGACATAATACCATCTTCTCTTGGGGTGCTGGTAGCAGCACACCCCAGGGGCCCTCCATCATTCAACAACAGGGACATTGCAGCCCCCCCCACCCCCACCACCA